GCGCTTGAAATATTGTCGAATATTGTGTTTTCGGAGTCGAGTTCCGGTTCTTCGAAGTTGAATCAAGAGGCACTCGCGGTTTTGGTGATGTTTCAACTCAGCGAGTCCGAGTGCACGGAGATCGCTTCGGATTTGAATAAAGTGATTTACTTGTCGAAACTCTTGTTTCATTCCTCGATCGATGTTCGAATCAACTCGGCTTCGCTCATCGAAACCGTTCTCGCCGGAACGAGGTCGTCGGATCTCCGAGCCGATATCAGTAATGTGGACGAAATCTTCGCCGGCGTCGTCGACATATTGAAGAACCTCAGCTCGTATCCACGAGCCTTGAGAATCGGCGTTAGAGCTCTGTTCGCCTTGTGCTTAGTGAAACAAACCAGGCACAAAGCCGTGGAAGCCGGGGCCGGCGAGACGCTGATCGAAAGGTTAGCTGATTTGGACAAATGCGACTCCGAACGAGCTCTGGCGACGATCGAGTTGCTATGCCGGATCCCATCCAGTTGCTCCGCCTTCGCGGCGCACGCGCTCACGGTCCCGTTGTTGGTAAAGACTATACTGAAGATTTCAGATAGAGCGACGGAGTACGCTGTCGGTGCGTTAATGGCGCTGTGTTCGGAATCGGAACGGAGTCAGAGGGACGCGGTGAGTGCGGGCGTGCTGATCCAGTTGCTGTTGTTGGTCCAAAGCGATTGTACGGATAGGGCGAAGAGGAAATCTCAAATGCTGCTTAAATTGCTTCGGGATTCGTGGCCTGAAGATTCTACCGGGAATTCCGATGATTTCGCTTGCAGCGAAGTCGTACCCTTTTGAACCGTAACCGCTCACTACATTTCTTCTTTTAGGCCAAAGATTTTTAAATGTTATTTTTCCTCGATTCATACAAAACAATTTTAAGTATAATCGAAACTTTTAAGTTTCAGGGTTTCGATCTTTAATCAGGTACATAGAGGATGCTCCAGCTTTTATGTATTTAATTTTGTACTTAAAATAATTTTTTAAGCAAAAATCAAATGAAAAAGATAGATATGCTATTGTATTATTTTTTTCTTTTTCTTTTTATATATTTTTTAAAATTTTATATATATTTATAATACGAACTTAAAATATAATTTTGTGAAAAATTTTAAATCTATTCAATCTTATCTAAAAGAAAGGAAAAAGATAGATTCTGAACGAAAGAAGAAGGGTAATTTTCATATACCAATAATTTATAATCTAAAAAAATATAGGGAACAAAATATATAATTTGACTAATCGATTAAGTATATCACTCAATTTAATATATAATCATTGATATTAACTATTATAATTATATTAATTGAATTTTTAAAAAAAATAAAGAATGATGGAACTAAAAAAAATGATTAGTTAATGAGTTAACTATGATTTGATACGGTGATTGCGAGTGTCACGTGTTTCGTAGCTGTTAGGCAGTCTTTTCCTGGAAACAATAGTTGAACGTTGGCCTCTCGAAACACCCTCCTTTATTTGTTTATTAAATCAAGGGTTTAGTCCCTAAATTTAGAATTTTTATAGTTTGATCCTTAAATAATTCTTCAGTCATCATTAATCTCTTAACTTTACCACTTTTTCCTTAATTTTAAAACTAATATACATAAAAAAGTTCAGTAACCAAATTAAGAAAAAAATATTAATTCAAAGATTAAAAGTCGTTTTATCCCTAAAATTAATAATTTTTGAACCAACAAACAAGCACTTGGTGTAATGAGATGAAACATTAGATTCCTTAAACAATTTCATGGATTAAAACCTTGACATTTGTGAGTGGAGCAAACTAGAATATCAACCCATATGGACTGCTATAAAACTCAATTTGAATTAGTCGAGGATTAATTAAAAAAAACTCCTGAATCAATCACACAAAATTTTAAAGACTACATATGTGTGTTTTAAGGTTTAAGTTGTTGCAACTCTGGCTTATGTAAGAAACACCGTACAAATTCATTTTCTGGCTATAGAGCATGGATCGAACACACATTATAATACTGAAAATTTTGTCCCCTCAACTCCAAACCACCACCCTTCATATTTCTCTTTCTTTAGGTGGTCCTAATTTTTTTGTGTAAACCCTTAGGATGTCCTACAGTTACCTTGAATATCGATTGAATTCAAAATTAAGTTAGCCGATTCACGAAACGAATTCTCTCAACACCATTATTTTATCGATCGATCTAATTGACTTGAAACTGAATTTTTTTATCTATAAGAGCCTAACTTGAAACTTTAAATCAGATTTGATTGTGGACTAGTATACTAAAGTTAGGTAAGACATACATCTAGCTCTTTCATGCTATCCTGCGTGCATGGTTTAGGGTCCACTAAAGAATAGTGGCATTGGAACAAAGGGAAGGGTCCCCTCCCCTCCAACCTACAATGTTGAAGTGAAAAAGGTGGTGGTTTAAATTCTTTAAAAGATGATGGTTGGGTCACATGTTGGTGGGGATGTATTTAACTATTTATTGAAACCATGGAATCACATGGATTGGTACATATCTTTCTTCTTGTGAGCAATGGCTATTAGTGCTCACATGAACTAACCAACTACTTTGTTCCTTATCTTTGGGGTCACTACAACAATTGGGAAATCCGTTGTCTGTGTTTTCCTTTATTACTTTTTGCTGCATTTGTGTCCCTACCATTGCAGCCGGATCATATGGGGAACCTTGAAATGGTTAATTTGCAGAAGATGGTATTTTTCTCTAGGTGAAGAGAAATTTTGGCATACAATTCCAAACTTATTGTTGATGCAAATAAACCCTAACACATACATATACTCATATATAGTATCTTCATAATTATACAGACAGAGCAAGTCCAGTCACGTAATCCTATTATTATCGTACTTCACTATTTCAATCAACTTATTTTCCGAATCCCGATTCATCCTCATGTATTCCACATTAAACGATCTTCTTCACCTTTAATTAGTATTATGTAATTACTAGCTTTAGTGTTCTCGAATGCAGACACTCAATTCACATGTTGAGCTATGTTGGAAAAGTTGAAATGCAGCTTCTTGTAGCTAAAGATATCATACCTGACCCAGATTTTCTGGCTAAGTTCTTTCAAGATGCCTTACTTGATGAGAATGGCAGCAATTGGAACCGATACAGCATAGAAAACTAATAAATTAGAATCTGTACAACAAAAAACAATAGCATTTATGTCATGATAACTATCTTGAATCATTTTATACCCTCTATCATTTTAATCGTTCATTCGTTCTGTAAGCTCTTCAAACGTTTTAAAATACGGTTTGGTTTACAAGACCGTTTAAACAAATATACAATACCTTAAACACTACCATGGCAAATGAAAATACACAGACATGAAGAATGTAAATCATAAGAGAAATTATTCTGAGCTCGTTCTTGAGTTGAAACAGAGCAGATAGAACTCTTAATCAAGGGATCTTAATGCTCAATTTGAGCATACCAAAACTCTTCGATATTCCTCATATAGAGCTAATGTTTACACACAAATAAAAGGCCTACTAAACCCTATAGAACATGTCCAGCCCTAAAATGAAACTTGCTCTAACTCAAGCTTTAGGTTTAATATAAATGCATCATTTTAAAAGAATTTAAGACCATAACCATCTTCGAACAAAAAAAATATCCATGACAGCTATGTACCAATTTTCACAAGGAATTCACCCTAATATCCACTCAACAGTACTACAATCAAACTAAGGTGGTGTTTGTTTTTACTGTGTAAGGTATGCAAAGCTCTTATGTCTGCACCGCGCAGGCCACGCGCAGACATTAGACTTCGCAGATCGTTTGTTTTTTAGAAGACAGAAACTCTTCTAACGTTTGCGCGTGGTTTGCAGACGTCTTCTAACATCTTCAAAGAGATTTTATATTTAATTTTATATTATATTATATTTGATTTTAATTTTAATATTAATTTTTTAAATAAATTAAATATTATTTTTTAATATTATATTATAGATATTTAATTTTATATCATATAAATTACTTTATATATTATTAAAGTTTTATATTTATTTTAATTATTTTAATTTAAGTTTAAATATAATATTTATTGGATTTGTTATTTTTAATTTATATTTAAATTTTTTATACAAAATGTAAATATTTAAACCACGTTACTTAATAACAAATGATTTCATTGTTTGATAATTAAAATTTTAAATAAATTATGTTTTTAAAATTTTAAAATATAATCATAATTAAATAAAAAAATAATCATAAAATAATTTGATAAATTAAAAAATATTTTCTAAAAATTTCATATAATTATAAAAATAAATTATGAATATATATTTAAAAAATTTAAAAGGATTACATAATTACATATTTAAAAAATATATATAATTTAATGATCATTTATAAATTTTATTCTATAAAACTTATAAACTAATAATACATGTGATTATGTGATACTTATAACAGAATTATTAAGGTGATGTTTGTTTTTCTAAAAAAAATTATTATTGTAGTTGTATAAATTATTTAAATTTCAGTATTGTAAAACTAAAATTATTTAAATCTCAGTATTACAAAACTCTTTTAAGTTTAAAAAATCAATTTATTTATATTTCAGTTTATTTTAGCAGTCTACAGACGTTAAAAAATAAACAGTCTTTTTCTTACAGACGGCAGACTTTTGGTCTATCTCTTCTGCTGCAGATGACGCAGATGTGGTCCGCAAACTACAGACCTTTTACATCTGCAAAAACAAACACCTCCTAAATCTTCCCACTTCAGCTATATACAAAAGAGTACGCATTGAAGCTATATACAAGATGAACAAGATGCTTCATGTCCTCAATATCTATAACAAGACTCAGAAACAACGGCAAATGTTAACATACCAAATGCATATAGAAGCAAATATAGGGTTTACAACATATCTAAAAGCTATTTCCATTGTACTAAAGTAATATATAATTATCAAACTATAACTGCTTTAAACAATCCCCAATTATGATTAAAAACCAGACAATAAACGAGAAAGAGCAGCAGTCTGAAACGTTTATCTATAGATTTAAGCAAGCAAAATAAACTACCAAAAGAAATCTGAAACTCAAAGTCACAAGCTAATTTAAATCCGTATAATAAAACTTAACTCGGGATAAGCATGACCATATTAATCCATTAAGAACAGCAAAACGAACCATAAAACTTCCTCAACGGTAACTCTTCTGGAATCTTGCCCTAGCACCTCTTCCACCGAACTTCTTCGGCTCGCACCTCCTGGGATCAGCCACTAGCAAAGTCCTATCGTACCTGACCAAAATATCCTTAATCTCCTTCTTGCTCTGCTCATCGACGTACTTCTGGTAAAAAGCCACGAGTGCTTTAGCGATGCTTTGGCGGATAGCGTAGATCTGAGAAGTGTGACCTCCACCCTTGACTCTGATCCTCATGTCGACGCCAGCGAAACGGTGACGGCCGAGGAGAAGGATTGGCTCAACGGCCTTGAAGCGAAGGATCTCCGGCTCGACGAGCTCGATGGGACAGCCATTGATCTTGATCAGACCACGGCCTCTCTTGCAGTACGTTACAGCCACCGCCGTCTTCTTGCGCCCGAAGCATTGGACCGATTCCATTAATTTCTCCGCCATCGTTGTTCCGTTTGTGGTTTCGCAGAAAAACAAAGTCTCTTACGTTGAAGTAAAACCCCAGCAAAGCTAAATCCGCGGCGGTAAGGGGTTATATAAGAGATTGCGTTACTCAGCGTTAGGGTTTTCAAAAAAATGTCAGGACGGTGCGTTTTAAGAGTTCAAGGCCCTTTTGGGCTTTAAGTGATCTAGGAACATAAACAAATATAATATTTGAGTCACACTGCATGAATATTGATGTTATACAATTTTGGGCCACACTTGAAAACCTAAAACTCAGACAACGATTTTATAATAATAATAATAATATATGTATTTAATTCAGAAAATAAAAAAATTAAAATTAAAATATATATATTATTTTGTTTCCCTTTCCCTTTCGTTTTCTATTTTGTTATTTAGATATCCTCTCTTGGAAGGGATAAGAAGAGAGTAGAGATAAGGATTGAATGGTTTACGCATTTTAGTCACAATTCTCCACCTAGATATACACAGCTTTCATATTTGAGTCACAATTGTTATGTGTATATATATATAATAAGAGATATGATCCTATTATATAATATAAAATTATTTATTTTTACATGAATTTAAAATTAATAAATTAATGAAAATATCTTACTGAGATTAATAATAGTAAATAAGAAGATATTCACTAGAAAAATCATCAGCTATCTATTTTTATTTATACAACGATCTAAATTTATATAAAACTAAAAAATATTTATACAATATAAGTAAATTTTAACCATATATATAATATGTTGAGTCGAGTATCAAATATCGAAAGAGTTTGATCTATATATATATATATATAAGATTTTTTCCCATTTAAGAGTTTGATCTAACTTAACCCTAGGTATACTCATGTTCATATCGAGAAGCTCACACAAAAGGGGGAAAAGACAACTTACACCATTAGTTACTTTCACATAAACGTGTCAGGATTTCAATTCAAGGAGGGCAAAAAATAATTATCCTTGAATAATAAGGAGAAAGTATAATTACAATAAAAAATGAGAATAAAAAAATAAAAAAAATATTTAAAATTAAGATTATCGATAATTTTTTAAATTAAAAAAATGAAGGGCAGTGACTCCCGGGACGAACCATATGCTTATTTAGTCAATAAACTACAATTTTTTAATTAAATTATTATATTTTAAAAAAATTATTGTTTGATTATTAAATTATTAATGTCATAATAACATCATTATTATAATATTCTTTTCTACATAAAATTTTAAATTATTTTGATCATGTCGGTTGTTGTTTATTACCATATCAATAATATTCATATTCCTTTCATTTTTCTTCCCATTGGTTTGATTTATAACGAAACATGCTCAAAATTAATAGAAGATCATTCAAAATTTTGATTTTCTAATGTTTTAATCTTATATAACGGTCGTTTGATGATGTTAATTTCATGTTATATTGTCCGTCTTATTAAAAGATCGTTTCTCGTCATTTGAATTTTCAAAAAACGATCTAAATCCCTAAAACTTCAAAAACTACCCTTTTTATATTTAATTTTATGAGTTTTACAAATATATATTTAAATATAATAGGATTTAATGCTATCTACGAGACTACAATGATCATAACAAAAATATCGAAGAATGTTAATTTTTGTGATGACTGAAAATGTGGAGAAAAAAAAACTTAATAACTAATGGTAGAGATTACCAAAAATTGTGGAGATAAAAATTAATATATCGTAATAAATAGATTTAAAACCACTTTAAAAATGTCCCACCGTGGCACCGTCCAGTAATCTCTATGTCCCATCACATGTACTTATATGCATCCCATCATTTATAATATGACATACGTATTATTTAGTTATAGGTAAACTAACAAAAGTTTATTGTATGAACTAATATGAAGGTATAAATTTTAAAGAAAATTATATTAAATATTTAATAAGTGTGAAATTGTACATTTTATAGATGTCAAATTAGATTATTTATAAGAATATTTAAAATAAAAATTATTAATATTTTTTATTAAAACATTTAAATGAAGTCGATATAATATACTATTGTGCAAAAAGTTAAGGAGAAAATAGAAACAAATGTTACAAAGCGCATTGACTTGTTTATACACGGACACTCGAATGGGAAAGCAAGGAAACTAAAGATAACGACAATTTTCTGTTAGTTGAGTGATAAATTATTAATAAACGTGTCAGAATCTGAGCGGTGAGGCACATACACGGATATGGGATGTAAGCAGGGGAATTTTATTTCTCCACGTTTCAGTTTCCATAAGGAAACTCGGCATTAACTATAAAACATGCCATCAGACGTTCTACCTTCATGCGGGTCCGGGAAACTACGGCGAAGAAGTTGAGTGTTCGGTCACCGACGTTTTGAACAATCTGATTACCCATTTTTTCAACTTCATGGCCGGTCCGGGTACTTTATCCGATGAACCATTGAGTCCTGCTGGCCGGCTTTTTATTCAACCGAAAACAGAAGTCGTCATCCACTGTATCCTCCGTGGCAAAAACGCCATCGACATAGACGCTGTAAAAGCCAACGTGAAGTCTTCGTTGATGTGGAAGCACCCCAGATTTTGCAGCCTGCTGGTTCGTGATGAGAACGGATTCGAGCACTGGAGAAGAACCCAGCTCGACATCGACCAACACGTCATCGTCTTCAACAACCGGCTCGATAAATCCGGAAAATTCATGGATGGAAGTGAAAACCAAGGTTTTAGCATCGAACAAGAAGAAGACAGCGATGATGATGAAATGGCAGTGAATCAATATGTGCGGATTTATCAGTGAGCACTCCATTGAATACGGACAAACCCTTCTGGGAGATCCATCTTTTAATGGCGCATAAGTGTTCGTGTTCCGGATTCACCATGCTTTAGGGGAGGGATATCCTTGATGTCCATGTTGATGGAGTTGCAGGAGCGAGCGATGAGAACGCACTCCATGATGGTGAGAAGACTGGAGAATCTATGGGCGATAAAAGAAGGAGCCTATTCTGGTTGCTTGGTGCCTTGTGGAGGTTCTTGAAGATGGCTTTGTTCACTTTGGTATTTTTGATAGAGTTTTTAGCAAGGATTTATCTTGCACGTGACCGGAAAACGGTTATTCCGGCGGTGACGGTGTCGAACTCTGGCCTAGGAAATTGGCTACCGCTAGGT